ACAGTAGGCCGTTGTCGGCAGAGTCCCAGACTTTGAGCTCAATTATATCATTTCCTGTGATATATATTCAAAAATGGTAAACTGATAAAATACTGCTGATTTTATGATAAATATTTAATCAGTTAAAAACTTTCCGATAGGTCTTACAGGAAGCGAGATATCTTTGCCGGTGGCCAGTCCAGCCATAGGCCGCTGCCGGCAATGGCAGTCTTGACTTTGAGTCTTATTATCTCGGTTCCTATTAAAGATATCGAAAAGTGAACTGATAAACTATTGGTGATATTATGATGAATAACTTATCAGTTAACCGTTTTTTTACATTTTTCACAGAAAGCAAGATATGCTTGGTCAAAGTTGGGAGTTTCCCTTGGATCTTCTCTTTATTTTGGATTTATTTTATTTTGCACTTTTGAACCATTTTGGTCGATTTTGGATAATCTTGGACTAATTTAACAATATCTGGACTTGAAAAATACAGTTTTCCATTGAAAAATATTTTATTTGTCATAAAAATTCAAGAGATCAAAAAATAGAGATGAGCAATTATTAGAAAAAAATCGCTTATTTTCTTCCAAACACTGGCGAGAACATTGGACTGTAGACATGTGGCACTTGAGCCCATCCAAGGGACGTGGATCCTCCAACCAATGGATCCGAGACCATGTTGTTGACGACGCCAGGCTGTCCCCAGTAGTTTTGACGTTTGACTCGTTTGATGAGGCCAGCGGATACGGTAGAAGACAAGAATAGGGCGAAGAGGGCGAGGAAGGAAAGGGAGAAGATGTTCTTGAACATTTTTGGAATCTTGGAATCTCAAAACCTGATAGGTTGATGGCTTGGTAATGGTTTAGCCGGCCTTTTTATACTCCAGCTAGGCGCCTTTGCCTTGAAAGTGGGCGGAGCTTCAGAGGGTGGTCACTATCTCTATCTCTTTCTTATCAGCTGTGATGATTTTTGTGATCTGTAGATTTTCATGATACAAATATATAATAGTTTATAGTTTAAAAATCAATATTTTCAGATAATTAAATTTTCAGAATGGTTCACTTCCCATAGACCGGCGCATACTGTGGCGAATGGTGTCTTCTCACTTGGGACCATCCTGAAAAATAAATTTTCAAATCTAGCCATTTTTATCCGTAGAGCGAGCTTACCTACTATCCAGAAGACTCACCATGGTTGGCTGGCGCGCCCCAGAGGTTATCATAAACCGGACTGTTATAATAGGTTCTTGGGTTACTGTAGTAGTTTCGTTGTTGTTGAGCAAACTGTGAATAGAATTGGGGGTTGTAGGCGTATTGAGAGATTACGGTTGCTGTGAATAAGGAAATGAGGATGAGGAGGGTTACGGTAGATGGCATTTGGGTTTGGGGGAATTGATGCTAATGAGAAATTGGAAGAAGCGTTTTTATAGTGGGGTTCTGTACGATTACTAGTTTTGGAATAATCAAAGAAAGTGAATTAATGTACTGATTTGCATATAAAACAAAGAGGGAGGCGGAGCCAGATGATGGCCTAGAAAATTTGGAAAGTTAGGTCGAGGTATCCTGTCAGGTGCTTTTCTATTCTCAGCAACTTTGAGCTCAATTATCTCGTTTCCTGTGAGAGCTATCAAACATTTGTCAATTAATAAATTGCTTATCATAAAATCAGCAATATTTTATCAGTTAATCACTTTTTGATATCTCTCACACGAATCAAGATAATTGAGCTCAAAGTTACAGTAGCCTTTTCCTGGCCTAGAAACTAAAAGCTAGGTGTATGACACCACTTTTGATTTACAATGCTTAAAAAGTTCTAGAACGGTATATGTCATTGGATGACATCATTTCTGTCTCTTCTCTGATCTCGAACGTTTTTCGGAGAACCAAAAAAAGAGATGAAAAATTTTGGTCCATTTTGGCACGTAGGCATTTTTTTCGCGTTCTTATCAGTTAGACTGGGTGGGAAGATGAAATCAGAGACGGAGAGTTTTCATAATAAAATCTGGAAATGGATACTTCTAGATTCCCAAAAATATTCTAGAGGTTCTAGAATGTTGTGAGATGCAAAATAAACCAAGATTATTTGTTTGGCATTTTCAACATAGTGCATCGCTAGCTTCAAAGCCCTGTATCTAAGCTGGTTTTAGTCTAATAGCGTCAAAATTTTAATTTTTGAGCTCACAATCAGGAAGTTACAAGCTTTTAAATGAGTATAATCAAGACCCATTTTTCGAATATTTTCATTTTTCCAACAAGGTGCATTGCCAGTTTCAAAGCTTTGTATCTAGCTTGGTTTTGGTCTAATAACTTTGAAATTTTCATTTCTGAGATCAAGAAGTTACAAGCCTCAAAATGAATATACTCATTACCTATTTCTGAGAGCTTTCATTTTTCCAACATGGTGCATCGCCAGCTTCAAAGCCTTGTATCTAGAATTGTTTTGGTCTCATTTCTCTGAAATTTCTAAATTTCTTCTTTTCATTTTGTGATCTCTGTCTTAATTCCATTTTCCATACAACTTCTAATGGTCAGTCTATCTTTGATTTTTTCATTTCTCCGATCATCACTCAAAATGATTGATAACAACATTTATCATTATCATATAATGTCAAACACCAAAACCGTTTTGGGGTGGGTTGCTTCTTTGCAGAAGAGAAATATCCGGTCACGTGGTGGGTGTCCAGGACAGATGGGAAAGGATTTTAGAGATGATGATGTGAAGTTTTTTTGTGTCTTGTTAAATCGGAGATCAGTCTGATTGGGTGGGGGATGGAGGATTCAAAGAACGATTTGGAATTCGAAAAGATTTGAAAACTTGTAAGGGTCATTTTGAAGAGGTCATGTTCTTTGGAATCATTTTCTGTAGACCCATAGGACCTAGATGGACCTAGATGGACTAGGTGGGCATAGATGGACCCTAGACTTAAAGGTACCTGGAAACTTAAAAGGACATGATGACATTTATTTCTCGACATATTATTATAACTATACTATTAGGTTGGCGGGAAAGTCTTTGTCACTCTGTTTGTTTAATCACTGTTCTCGTATATGGAGGCTGTGTATGATATCGACTCTAGTGAATAACAAGGTGATAAGAACCTTCCATATAAACAAGTCCCCATCTCCTTCCCTGCTCCTCATCTGTAATTGAAACGATATGTTTGTTCCCACTGCTATTCACATCAGACATGTTTTGATTTACCTCTTCCTATCTCACACCACGATGAAGGATTCGGAAACTTTCTTGAAGAATGTGTACAACACACATGCCCCTCACTACAATACTATTCGCAATTGGTTCCATCGTTTCGAAAAAGATGACTTCTCGCTCGATGAAAAGGATCGCTCTGGGAGACCCCGTGAGTTGGATTTGGACAAGCTGAAGCACGCATTGCAATCGGATCCATTTCAATCTAGCCGTGAACTAGCTGTCACATTCGGAGTTCACCATAGCACAGTCCTTGAAGGTTTGAAGTCTCTTGGAATGAGAAAACTTTTTGGTCGATTCATACCTCATCACCTGACTCAAGCCAACCTTGACCGCCGAGTCGACGATTCGATTACTCTTCTCACTCTCCACGCGGGCGATCGATGGCTGGACCGGCTAATAACCGGAGATGAGAAGTGGGTCTTCTACGATAATCACCACAGGAAATCCCAGTGGGTTGGAGAAGGAGAGAGCCCACAGGATGTCCCCAAACCCGACCTTCATCCGAAAAAAGTTATGCTCTCTGTGTGGTGGGGAGTGGACGGCCCCATCTACTGGGAACTTCTGCCCGAGGGCAAAACAATAACTGGAGACCTCTACACTACTCAACTACGAAACCTCAAGAAAGCAGTCGACCGTTCGGCCCTGAAAGACAAGAAAGTGTATTATCAACATGATAACGCTCGCCCACATGTTTCGAAACAAGTGAACCAGGAGCTGATGGGATATGGATGGAATGTTCTCCCTCACCCCCCGTATTCTCCTGATCTTGCTCTTTCCGACTATTGGTTATTTGGCGATATGACACGTGCTTTCGAAGGAAGAAGCTTCAATTCCCGTGGAGCGGTCGAAGCGGCACTCAAACAATACTTTGCCTCACGCCCGGCTGGATTCTACCGCAATGGAATCCATAAATTGAGGGAACGTTGGAGACATGTTGTTGATAATGATGGACAATATAATTAATTATTCGGTTATTTTTTCTTTGAGAAATAAACTATTGAAAAAGTGACAAAGACTTTCCCGCCAACCTAATAGAAATTGAACTTGTGGGCCCCGGTGCCGCGAAATTTGGGATTTTGTAATTTTCGGAATCTTTTCAATTTACCCGTCTTCTAGTTTTCCAAAAAAGGTATTTCCCCGTTGATCAAGACGCTAATTGGTCTGTCCATAGTTTGTGTATGTGTGTCTGAACCTTTCTTCTTTTTTTTTGGCTGTTGGTTCCGAAAATTTCGACTTTGCCACGTATGCAAAAGGATGGCTGTCTAGTTTAATTGTAAGAAAAAAACGGTTTTCTGGTGATATCATCTGCCAATTTTTGATCAGGAAGAACAATTGTTTTTGGGTGTGTCTGTAAGTCCGGATGTCTACAACCTCCAAAAAACCTGTGGAATGGCTTCCACACTATCAACTTTGACCAAATCTGTCTTGCTTCATTTCAAAGATAGAACAAAGTGTCTGGTAATAGAACATTTATCATAAATTACCCAACATTTTATTAATTGATCCCGTTTTGTCATCTTTCACAAGAACCGAGATAATTGAGGTTAAAGATGAGAGAGCTATCGTATCTGCTCTCATAGAGCCTACCATTAACGTGTACTTTGAGCTCTATTATCTTGGTTTCTATCAGACATATCAAAAATGCGTCAACTGATAAAATGTTGATGATGTTATAATAAACATTCTGTCCGTTGACCACTTTGTGCAGTCTTCCACAGGAACCGAGATAATTAAAGAGCGGGGGTCCTTGACAAGGAATTTTTCAGATGTCTAGGGATATTTGTGAAAAAAATTGACAACAGTAGAAAATTATGAAATTTTTATTGAATTAAAATCCAAATCCTGGATATCCAATGGAGCGTTTTTGCAGCACTGCTAGATTTCCATGTCCCTAACCATTTCTGATTCTTTTAGCGTCCACCAAAAACAGGGGAGAACATTGGGCTCAATCTATGTGGCACTTGAGCCCATCCAAGAGACGTTGGTCCTCCAACCATATTATCGGAAACCATATTATGAACAACTCCATTGGAATACCAGTAGTCTGGAACGGCACGACGGTCACGGAGGATGATGCCAGCGGATACTGTAGAAGACAGGAAGAGAAGAGCCAAGAGGGTGAAGAAGAGGGTCTTGAGCATTTTGTAGCCTTTTGAAGAGTTGATGGAAATTGGTTATGGTTTGGAACCTGATCCAGACAGGCTTTTATGGTTTGTGTAGCTAGAAGAACGGAGTCACGTGGCTTTGACCCCCCAAAAAGGGGCGGAGCCAAGTTGGTTAGTCATGGTAATAGTTTGTAGATCAAATGAGGGGCAAGTTTGATCTATCAACCCGAGAACGAGAATTCTGATAACGAAGATTCATGATAAAATGATAAAAAGGTCCTCGAAAATTGAAATCCTTGAATGGTAATGAAAAATCCAGAATTTTTCAGACCAGCTCGGCTTCCAGACACCTCCAATTCGATATGAGCAATATGAGGACCAGAATCATTATGATGTCAAAAAGTCTATTTTGTATTTCCTAAAAAATATTCTGATGGCATTTTAGACTCGATTTCATGTAGTCCTGATAAGAAAAATGATGATAATTAGCACAATTTTTTGGGACACAGTCGATACACGTTATAGAGGGAATGGGGGATCAGTGGGGGAATCCCTTCGATAGACTGGGGAAATGGGACTTTGAGAAAGTTACGATACACCCTGAAAATCTGAAAATTCGTTTTGAATCTCATTTAGGAACTTTCAAGCCATCCGTTTATGAATTTAGGATAGCCGACTTTGCAACCGCTGGTAGAATTTGTTTAAAATAGGTTATGGTTATATTCGTTTTAAAGCTTATAACGTCCAAGACTCAAAAATTAAAACTTCAGAGCTATCAGACTAAAACTAAGCTAAATACGAGGCTTTGAAGCTAGCAATGAACCATGTCACAAAAATGAGATTTTTCAGAAATGGGTCATAGTTATACTTATTTTGAAGCTTTTAACGTCCATAACTTAAAAATCAAAATTTCAGAGCTATCAGACTGTAACCAACATAGATAGCTGACGATGCACCATGTTAGCTTAGAAGCTGGCGATGCACCATGTTAGCTTAGAAGCTGGCGATGCACCATGTTGGAAAAATGAAGATTTCAGAAATGGGTCATGCTTATACTCATT